TAAATTTACAGTAAAACTGCACATTTCTTTATTTTTCCTTCCATTCACTGAAGTTTTTTCATCGTTATACACACCCTGCCCACACACACACACACACACCTGCACGCATACAAAAGTTTAACTCTGCAGTTTGTGCTTCAGGTTGGTCAGTTGCTCCATGTTGATGGTGGAGCCACCGCACACAATCATCAGCAGAGGGCCCATGAGAGCTGGCAGACGACCTAAAATGAGGAGAAGCAGTAACTGATGTAGTCATTTCTCTGAACTGAGAAGGTCTCAACTGTCTCAGCCTGATGGACTGAAGTACTCATCAGCTGCTTCAGTATGAAGAAAACAGAAGGAAGGTGAGGACTTACCTTCATTTTGTAATCTGACTATGATACCGCTGTAGACAGCTGCCAGCGCTGCTCCACACGCCATCTCCACCAGCACGCGTTCCTCATCTGCAACCGGCATGCCATCACATTAACTCTGGTGCAATTTCCACTTAGTTGTGCATAATTTTTCAAACATTTTCCACTATTCAGCAAAGCCACAAAGCAGCAGACTTAAAAGTTACTGATTAAAAAGTTTTGTCATGGTGTGAACATTGTTGCCATAGTTACTGAAGGTAGAGGTATTCAGACCCTTCACCTGAATTCTTTGCATGCGTGAATCATCCAAAAATCAACTTAAAGTGGACCCGCTTTGTACAATTCACATTTCCTCTGTAGAAGCCAGTGAAGGTGGCTCCGGCCTCTGGTTAGGATGCCTCCCTAGTTTCTCTCTTTGCAGGTTTCCAATCACACCCAACTGGGAGGAGATCCTGGAGTAGACCCAGACACAGCTAGAGAGACGATACATCTCATCTGGTCTGGGAATACCTCAGGATCTCCAGGAAGAACAGAAAGTGTTGCTACCCTTTAAAGCCTAAACTGTCCTCTGACTGGCTGGCTGGATAGGGCTCCTGACTTCATACAGATATGAAGTTCAAAAAAACCGACAGCAAAATGTTTCTAAAGTCTCAATGGAGAAGTGTTTGTTCTGTTATAAAATGATAAATTAGCATGTTTAGGGGCTTTTGTGACACTGCATTTTATGAGGGAAATTTAGGCAGTATTTTACTGCAAAACACAGAGGACAGGCTGCACTGGAGGTTGCCAGATTAATATGGGAAGATTAATGTGAGAGGGAAGGATTTAAAGTATTGCTGCACAGATCTGTGTTCTTTAGTTACATATTTAAGTTTATAGTGCAAAGCAGCCCTAGTCTAATATTTCACAAAGTGTTGTGCTATATAAGATTAGTATATGTTTTGTTGTATTAGATAAATTAACTACAACTGATGTTGTTCAGTATAAGTTAATAATAAGTACCAACAAGTATAGTGCTTGAATAAATGTGCTAATAAATTATTGCCTTCCCCTGGCTGTAGCTCTATCATTAATCATTAGACTTTCTCTGCCCCCAAGAGGGCAGAAAATGGCTTCCACAGGCCTGTATGGTTTGCAGTTAATTTCATTCATTCTGGGGCATAAAGACATGCTTGTCCAGCAGCTCGAAGTGAAGAAAAACATTGTACAGGGAAGCCAAATGAAAGCATTTATGTACAGGAAGTCTTTTACAGAGTAAAACCTCATTCTAATTTTCTGCAAAAACCCTTCTTTATACTCCTTATTATCAAAGTAACCGTGGAAACTGGAGGTATTAGGATGCACAGGATAGAAACAAAAGTCTACCATGCTGATTTGGACACTGACTTAATAGCATTTGGTGAGAATAAATGTGATGCAATATGAAAAAAAAACAAAAAACTATTACAGATTCATTAATTGACACTCATCACCAAGCTTAAAGGCAAATTCAGAGGTAAAAACACTCACCCAGGAATGTTTGGATAGCATGCAGAGCCTGCTGGTCGGTCACCAGCTCAGAGATGATTGTCAGCTCGCTGCTCTGGCTGTAGTCGAAGGCTTGTTTACAGGCTGTCTTCGCTCCAAGACATTTAGCCTCGCTGTGGAGAGGCAGTAGGTTTGATGGATGAGGGTACGTTCGAAACACTTCATTGCAAAAAACTTTTAAACTCCTTTAAAGTCAAACCTGGTGATGTCATCTAAAGTGACCAACTTCCCCGCTTTAATTGCAGCATTGAAACAGTGTGCCCCCACTGTTTCCATCGCGACGATGGGCACGTCTGTCCAGCCCACATCCTTGAGGCCCTGGATGACCCCACACAGGAGGCCCCCTCCGCCCACAGACACCACCACAGCTCCGGGCTTCACGCTGGGACCCAGAGAGGCAGTGACCTCTGCAATCATACTGGCGTGGCCTTCCCTGTATGGGTGAGTGCGTGGACACAGGTACAGTTTGAAAGTGAGTCTTTTTAAAGTGCCCTGTGCTTTAATGAGGAGGTTCTCTACCATAGCAAGGGGTGATCGAATGGAGCAACATAAGTAAGCCCTTCAGTTTCTGCCAGTTTGAGAGCCTCTGCGTTGGCATCATCCCAAACCTGCAAAGATAAGAGTCTTAGTCTTCTTTAAAAAAAAAAAAAAAAAAAAAAATCTAAATTCTGGATTTTAAACCATCATATCAGTGAGCTTCACCTTGCCTACAATTCTGACAGTAGCACCCTGATCATGGAGTCTCTGGACCACCAATGGAGGAGTGGAGGAGGGAACTATGATGGTGGCTGGCACGCCCATTTTTTGGGCTGCATATGCTGCAGCCATACCTGCATTACCACCTGAAAAAACACCACCTTCAATACTAAAGAAACACACTAATGACACTGCATTGTAATGAGAATATGATGTTTAACAGGACAGAGTCACCTGAAGAGCAGATTACTCCTTTGGAGTGTCTGGCGAGCTGCAACGACACATTAAACAGTCACTGTGTGACAATGTGGATCTGAAGAAAGGGAGCACGCGTGAGGGGGGCTGTAAAGATTCCCACCTGCTGGCAGAGGTGCCCGATGCCACGGATCTTGAAGGAACCAGAGGGCTGTGCATTCTCCATTTTTAGATAGACAGTGGTTCCCACCCTCTTGGACATGTTGATGCTCTCCAGCAGCGGTGTCTTCAGGTGGAAAACCTCTGCCATGGTGCACCTAGATGCCAATGAAAGAGAAGCAGTAAAAACTCCACAGAGTGCAAGTGGGTGGTACAGTGGAAAAGTTGTTCATCTTTTATACACATTTTCATCTTCTGTTAGGTTTATTGGTAGTCAGAGCACAACTATCACCAGCTCTCAGATTGCAGTGCTGAAGAAAGAGAAGAAACAAAGAAGTTGCCTCTGCACAATTTGTGTTAATTTAAGGCACTGAACTCTTGAGTCTTTCACATGTAATTTCACTTTAATCTTTCTGATCTGATTTAAAATCAACTGCATCATATTTTATTAGTAACCATGAGAATATCACCCCCCCCCCCCCCCTTCTCTGTGTACTGTATTCACCTACTGTGAATATTGTAACTTTGATTTTTCTAATCTCATCTATTCTGTTTATTACTGCACAAATCATTTCTCCCACTTTCCACCGAAATCTGTAAAACCACCATCCTTCACTTCCTTCCTTCCATTGTTGTTGCCACCTTCAGTTTCTGCTTCTTTCCTGATAAACCCGAGTGTTAAATTATTTTCCTTGGCTTCCTTCGAAACCTAATCTCACATTTTCCAATGATACCAAACGTGCCATAGCACATAAAAACACCCCAATGTGTGAATTCTTTAGTATTTTCTCTTGGAATGCCCGGTCTATTGCCTGTGTAAATACACTGTAAATGGGTTCGTTTTTAATATTAACTACTATCACCGTTTGAATTATGTACCAAGCATGGGCAGTGTTGCTTTCAATAATAAAATTAATTGTCCAAAGTGGAAAATCAGGTATTTATATTCTTCACTTTAATCTTCAGCAGCTCTCTTTAGGGGTCGAATCTTCTCGCCTCTGTGGCAGCAAAACCTGTCTGCCAGCGGAACTTTAATAACACAACAAAGCAATAATTAACATAAAGCGTCCGAAATGCTACGTTGTAATTTGGGATATCAAATACAAACCATTATATAAATCTCTGACTTACGTTCGGTTAAAATGTCTTCGTGAATGAACCCCGCAACAAAAATTAATCAACTGTTTTCTTTTGGAAAATGTATTACAGTTTCACCAGACGCTACGCTACATACGAATGTAGCACATTGTACCGGAAAAGCATCCAATAGTAACAAGACTACTTCCGGTCACTGCTTCAAAATAAGTGTTTGATTAAAACCAATGACTGTAGAAACTTAAAGTGAATTTACTGCTGGAAACAAGATTATATTACGTTTGCCTAAAATAAACTTAAACTAAGTGTAAAAAAAAAAGCATTTTAGACAAATAAAATTACAAGATAACAAAACTAAATAACATAATTGTCTAAAAAGTGTCTTAACAATTCGTCAGTTTCGCCAACTATGTCAGCACACCAACTCTGAGCCAGCTTTGGTAGGCATGTAAACTGGGTTTTTACATGAGTATGAGTATGTGTGTTAGTAGTGTTTTGTAATTTTGTACAGTTCTGAACTCATCAAACAACATCCATTTCACAGTGAATACATTCTAAACTCCAACTAATAAAACTAACTGAAGTGAACAGTTTAACAATAAGAACTAAACTGGAAAACTGCCCAAGTAACTCAACTGATTTTGAAATTTCCCCACAGATCGGTTTGCCAAGTGTTTTTATTTTGAAATTACAAAATAAAAGGCTGACAGTTTTCTGTAGTTCAGTTCCTGCATTAAATTACATAACAAACGCCACAGTGATTGAATTTAGGATTTTAATCTGGAAAAAATTTACGACTGAAGAGCTTTCTGTCGGTGCTGGCTCTCCTGAATGACCTTTGAACTTTAATTCCCATCTAAAGTCCACGGTTTATTACTTGAGGCTTGTAATTATGTAAGCTCACGTGTGTCTGCCTGTAACTGTTCCAGCTGTGCATTGTTTGACAAAAAAAAACAAAAACGAGCTGAGTCATTGTTATTTTTCTCTGTAGGGATTATAATTTCTTTATTAATATTGTACAGTAGCTGTATAGTTACAGTTTGCATATACACAAAGTGATGGTAAGCACTTCTCAGAACAATATCTCACTCTCACACCAAACATCACTCATCTTATTGCTTCATATTTTACACAGCTCGTGCTGAAGAAAACGGCGCTATATTTTGTGGCAAACCTTTCCTGTACACTAGGTGGCAGCAGTGAGCAGCACCAGCACTGATACATGAAAAGAAACAGGAGCAGCGTGTGCTAGTAATGAGAAAAATAATAATAGAAAGCAATGTTTTGTTTTAAATAAAGCAATATAAATCAGGGCCAGAAGCAGAAGCAGTGGAAGCAGTTCTTCCTCCACTCACGGCTAATTTAGCCCCATTTCAACACTGACACAGGTTCTCTTTCCCAGGCCAGAATTAGGCTGGGCTTTCCTTGAAGCCACCTTTCTGAGCAGCCACAGGACCTTTAATTTAACACATTTAACAGCAGATTGACAGAGTAGCGTTTAATTAATGGGTTAATCGTCAGTTTTTACATGAGGGTCGGTATCTTTAGTCTGAAGAAAAATATGCAACAACTAGCAGCATTTTTTTTTATCTCCTCTAAATAAAAGTATCACCCATCCTTCACTTTCACACCCTTTTCTCCTCATTCTTGTTTTCCTTCCTCTTTTCCCCCTTTCTCCTCCTTTACCCTCAACAACCATTTTGGCAGTCGAACACATGTACATGTGAGAGCGTGCATTCATCCCATAATAGTTGACAAATGCTTGAATGTCAGATTATGAACTCAGAAACAGCCCATTATTCTGACTTGACTTCAAACCTTTTTGCTTCACCGTGCGTGGGTGGATGCAGATCCCAGCTTCCACGTGTCACAGTCTTGTGGTTGCACTTCCAACTCTTTTCCTCTGATTCATTTTCTGCCGAAACCTGACTCCCGTTAACGTTGTTTACCCTCCCCTCACTTTCCTCTTTCCGGCTCCACTTTCACATTTCACATCTCACACGTACTTTCAGCCTGTAAATTTACTGCATTTACAAATCTTCACGCCGTGCAGCGTGAAGGTGTTTCCACTGTAGCTGAGAAAGAGCGCATTCCTTTGCTATGTCGCTGATGAGGCTGGCATTATTTAAAATTAACACAGTACAAAAATAAAGCGACATTTAAAGAATATTTGGAGAATATCAGACAGAGCTTTATGACTCCAAGCTCATTGTTTCATATTTTAAGCTGCGTGGAGCTTTAAAAAAGCTTTAATTGCTTTTTTAATACTCTTTTTTTTTCATTCAGCATTTCTCATGCAGCTGAACACTTTGAGTTATGAATTTACGTCAGCTCTGCAACATCTTGGTGAAAATGCACACTGCATCTATCACGATTTGGCTCTGTTGCATCCACACAAATAGAAGAAAGTGGCTCCATCTTTGTCCTCCCCTCATTCTGCTCCTTCTTCTCCTTCTTCTTCTTCTTTCCTGCATGCATGCCCCCTCTTCGAGCATGAGGCTCCTGATCTGGGCTTTATGCCAGTGAGCGTTGTCTGGGTTTGATCCTTGGATACAGCTGCAGAGAAAACAAGACAGACACAGAGAGCTAGAAAGAGCAAGCGAGGATGTAGGTGAGGTCACAACATCATGTCAACATGTTCTCAAGGTGCCTGAACATCTGAAGGCCAGCAGACTGAGGGGCATCGTGTGGGAAGAAGGTCTTCCTGCATTTGCATGTTTTCTGTGTGGTATAAACTGAACAGAACATAGGACAGACAGGTACTTGACATACTCTTGCTGCTCTTTTACACCATCTATGTGACGCCAAGAGTTGGATGGGGCAAACTTTTCTGCAGTTAAATAGCTCAAAATCAGAAATCTCATCTTTTCTAAGTGTCCTTGACGTCTTATATGCTAACATGAAACCAGCTGCTTGAAACTTCAGAGCAGAATTTTAGTCAGCCCTAACCTTTGAATAAAACTGGACTATTCTTTGAAATAAAATCCTTGTCAAACACACATGAAAAGTTTCTCTCTTGCCTCCCACAGAGCAGCATCTCCACTTCCTACTTTCACATAACCCCTAATCTGGCTTCTCTCCACTGGCCTTCTGTATGTCTTAGAGTTGATTTTATGATTTGCTGCTACATGGCACAACTGTTGGCACCATATGAATATGTTTACAGGCTTAGATCCTCAGCTGGGTCCTCCTGGCACTGTGAAAGTAAGGTGATCGTGTTTATATCATCAGGGTCACTCTACTCTGCCTGAGGAGATAAAACTCACAGTATCATCGACTCCTTTGAAGTCTTTCTCTCTCTTTTTGTCCTTGAGTTGTACCTGTTCTTATACTAATGTCTAACTTTCTCACTGTGATATTTTCACCAGAGTCGCTCTTTTGGTTTCGGTTCTCTCACCCCCAGCAGATTTCTGGGCACGTATCCCTCGCGGTCATTCAGGCGCGCCCACCACCACTCTGTCTCAGTGTCGTCATGGCGACGCACCACAGTGATAGCATCACCTTCGCTGAAGGAGAGCTCATCAGACTGCTGGGCTGTGTAGTCCCACAGGGCATAGACTAAACCTTTGTTCATCACACCCAACTTTTCCTGCACACCTGTGAGAGACACAACGATGACTTTAGACGTTTACCTGTGCGATTATGGTAATTGCACACGCAGGTGAGTGCGTTTGTATCTTCCTACCGTAAAGGAACTGGGAACACTGGGTGTAGCCCTCTTCCATTTCTTCACATTTGTCCGCGGCTGTTTCCACGTCGCTGATCGTTGTGGCAAAAATGGCCGCCCCTGACTCCACCAACATCTTGCAGAGGTGGACGCTGTTACATGAAGCTGCACAGTGCAGCGGGGTCCTGTGAAGACAACAACATTAAAAGGGACCTTGCAAGGAAGAAAAAAAGGAAATTTGATGATATATTATGTTACTGTAATTGCAATAAAGATCTTTTGTAGATCTAAAGCAGAGTCAGCTGAGCTTTTAGTCGCCTTAACTCGCTTGATCAAATTTTGTATGACTGGCAGAGTTTGTGACTTCACAGCAAAAAAAAAAAAAAAAAAAAACTGTTAGCATAGCAGATATCCAAAACTACCAAACTGCTGTCCCTTTGCTGTTAGCTTCCTTCACAAATAGATTCACCCATAGGTGGGTCTGATCCAGCTTTATAAGCCAGTATTGGGCTCATGAATTCCCCTTATTATTAGGACTATCCCCTCTTTTTGATATCATATTGAGCTAAAAGTAGAAAAAACTGCATATACCAAGCATTTAGAGCAGTATCTGAAATCTGAAACGTTGCCTATGTTTAATATGAGCATCGCAATTCGGTCAGTATATGCAGTCCTATGAAAAATGAAGTACACCATTACCGTTTGTTTCCATAGGAATTAGAAGGGTAAGCGTTAGCACCTTTATAAAAACAGAACGAGACACCAGCATATCAGCACAAACTCCTCGTACCAGCTCTCAAGCACAGTGGTGGAGGGATGATGATTTGGGCACCTTGTAGGATTGAGTTACCAAGAGCTTCTCTGTATACCAAAGTATTCTAGAGTCAAACGTGACAGCTGAAGCGTCACTGAAACTAGGTCATGCAGGAACACGATGATCCTAAGCACAGCAGGAAATCTACAACAGCTGCAATGGCCCATTCAAAGTCCAGACCTCCAAAAGAAAGATTGGGTCAAAATTCCTCCACACTGATGTGAGAGAGTAATGAAATCCTTCAGAAAACAATTTCTCCAAGTTACTTAGTTTAGCTGCTAAAGGTGGTTCTGCAAGCTACTGAATCGTGGGCTAGATTTTTTCACAGCACTGCGCACATTCCATGTGAGAGGAAATAAAGAAAAGGATTAGGTCCTCCTTCAACATGAACATTTCTCTTTTTACCAAAGTTCATTCACTTCCAATCAAAGAAAGAAAGAAAAGATGTTCCTGTAATGCATTTTAAAACAACTACAGTTTAAATTAAACTAACCATGAAAGAATCAAATGCATCAGTAATTAAATCAAGCAACTTGTGGATACAGACCCTAATTGCATATTGTAATCTCCTCCTTCAATACTGCTAAGGCAGCTGAGTCAAAATGAAATTGGAGTCAATTATCTCTGTCACTGCTGCCTCTGAGCCGAGCTCCAGCACCGCCACCACAAAGCGTGCTCATTACTCAAACTCCCTCAAGTCCTTCATGCAGCCGCTGCTCTGTTATTGGTCTCTGTATTACTGCATGACGCACAGACCGAATGAAGGCACTGACCATCCGTCACTGTCGGCTGCGTTCACGTTAACTCCAAAGTCCAGCAGGAACTTCACAATATGGTGATGACCAGCACAGACGGCGTTATGAAGAGGTGTTATGCCTTCGTCGTTGGGCATGCTGGGGTTTTCCACCTGAAATAAAAAGAGATGCGTATAAAGAAATATTAGACTTGGAGAACGCCGGAATAAGTTATTAGCTGCTCACCTCCACAACGGTGATATCAGCCTGGAGAAGCTGAGAATGATCTCAGTGCAAAAGTCAGGAAACAACATGTTTTGAGCAGGTTGAAAACTATTGAGTCTCACAGCCTCAGAGTGTAATAATATCAAACTGAGCTTTTTGTGGATCTGACTGTTTCCTTGAGAACATTAACTTCAGTTTAAAGCCTAAGAAGTCAGTAAGGACTCTCTTCTCCCGTGAGTGATGGCAGGGTTTCCATCGAAAGATGTGAGGCTCTGTTTTCTCTGCTGCTACAGAGTGCATCCCCGACTATAACTTGTACAGTTCCCTGCTGAGACCTCCTCTCTACTGGCACAGATTAAAGGGAAGTATTGTCAGGAAGGTACTGAAAATGCTTTAAAACTGCCTGGTAAATGGCAAATTTGTTGAGGCAGTCTGCATGTGGGTGTAATTACTGGCATGTAAAAATATTACACTGTTGCATAACCCAATGTTTTTTTTAATGCAACACAAAAAAGTAACCTTTACAAGTGTAACCACATTGTGTGATGATTTTCAGCTCTGCTTAAAAATTATCTCAAAATCTGAAGGCTCTGCAGAAGTTTCCCTTGTCTTCTAAGAAGGCCAACTTTCCATAGTTGACCAGCTGCTACCTCGCACTTCAGAGACTATTTGTTCAACAGGACTAAAGAAAATATCATCAGGACAGCTTCTGAGTTCAAATGCACTCGTTATTTTTTTAAGTTTACTGTTGTATGACACAAGATTTCTGTGGTTTAGGTCATTCTCCAGATGCAGATCATATCTACTGTCTCTTTACAGTAGGGCATATCTCAAGCCTCATCACTCATTCTGACACATTTCAGTCTCTTCACTACAATAAGTTTCTTCTTCTTCTTCTGGGCTCAGTGGGATGCTGGATATCGGCTTCTGGCCCAAATCCTAAATGATAGTGATCCATTCCTGTCTCATCAGTGCTCCAACCTGATCACAGTCGGTGTGCTTCTGCTTTTTAATCACTGACCACATCAAAAATGTCCTCAAAGACCTGTCTTGATGCCTGCTCAATCATCCAGGTAAGAGCATCATCCAAACCGACGGCCAAACTGAGGTCACTTTGATGAGTGATGAAACTGAAATAGTGCTTTCAAATGTCTGTGAGTCAGTTTTCTTGTTTTAGCTTCTGCGTTTAGGAATCATTTGGAACTATGGCTGATGTAGTTATAGAAATAAATTATATTCAACTTAATTTTACCTTTGCAAAGCAACACAGTAATCTTTGCAAGTATGAAAAGTGAGACTGTGTTATAAGAGCACTATAATTGCACAACATCATGTTCTGATTTACCTCATATATGATTCTCTGCACCAGGTCAAACTCTCCCTCCAATGACGCATCCAGGAGAAGAGCCAGAGGGTTAAACTTGACTCTCAGGCCGTGACCGGTTCGCTCTGATGACGGCTTCTTCAGGTTGGTTCGCTTTACCTGCAGCAAACAGCATAAGAGAAAGAAAATGAACCTGGTGTATTGTTGTGTGACAGATGCCCAGGTTTAATGTGTATGCTTTGTGTTGTTGTATACATACCTTAGGCAGAGTGGGCGGGGCAGGAGGAGATGGTGAAGGAGAGATGTGGCCAACTGAGTTTTGAGCAGGACTAGAGCCTCTCTGGTTGTTATTATTTTGGTCCTCTGGTCTCTCAGGTACAGGAATCGGGCTTGATTGGGTCGATGGTGAGACGCCGTTGCCAGTCTCTGCCGCTGCTGTTGTCTCTTTGGATAATTCTGTCGTAACTGCAGGAGGAGACGAACGGCGGGAATCCGAATTCAGGTTTTGGGCTTCACTCTCCGCGGCTGCTGCAGTGACCTGTTTATCTCCACGTTCTACGTTTCCATTAGCTGAATGAATGTTGTCCATGTCTCCCAAAAGGCAGTCCGGTTGGTAGAAAGTATTGCCTAGAATTAAAGAAGGAACTTAAATCTATATATATTTAGGCACACAGATGTCACCTGACCATCATATGTCGGTGTCTTACCTGAGCTTCCCTCCATGCCTCCTGCTAATGTGTTGAACCTGCAAAAAAAACCGGCAAAAACAAATTACATTTTTCCATTTTGATTCTGTTTCTGTCTTAAATTCCTGAAAGTTTTTTGTTTGTCCTGGTGCAGTTAAACATGTGGTAGCACCAACCTCTGGTAGAGCAGTTTTTGGATGTTTGGCCCCTGAGGGCCTTCAGGTTCAGTGATCGAGCTCCGTTTCTTGAGGGGCCGCGGCGCGTTGCTGAAGCGGCGGCGGAGAACCTCCAGGTCTGCATCGCTCTGGTATCGGAGCTGAGAGTGGGCTGTGGGGGACAAAGCTTTAAAGCTACTTTCTTCTTTTGTCATTTGTTCTTGGCAAAATGTATTTTTTTCTGCTCCTGTTTCTTAGATTGTATCTTTTTTCTTTTGCTGAAATTATTCCCAAAAGCTCTTCAGGATAGCGTGATCTGTGACTGATAAGCACACTACCATAACTTAATGAGAACTTTCTTTAAGACTTACAGTATAAAAAAAGATATAAATGTGATATTCTGGGATTTAAAAATCTGGTCTTGCTTTTAATGATTTCCAAGGTGTGGGCTACAATTCAAGCGGGCCAAGAGAGATAGATTTTTTAAATGTCTTTTTTTAACATGTTCTCGCATCTTATTTTTGTTATCAAGGGAAAAAGTTAAGTACAAAAAGATCTAAATGTATCATTGGAAAAAGAAAGAATTAAATATATTTTATTTGGCTCACGTGATTAAAGGTTTGGGTGTGTTTCAGGAGATTTGGAAGCAGGCTGCAGTTTGAGAATGGCTGATTTAGCTCTTTCTAAGGAAGGTCCTCTGACTCAATTCTAGGGCTGCTCCCAGGAAATCAATGCTTGACTGAACAACTGAGATAAAATTTGTGGTTAAATGATGAAGGAGGCTGGAATATGCTTTAGTAAGAATAAAAAGCTAATAAGAAGAGTATCACTCAAAGAGACCAGTGAAGACACGGGAAATTTATGAAACTATGCGAGTAATATTTCTGCAGCCAGTGTGACTAAGTGACTGGGTTACTGTAATAAACTTTAAAGTGTGTAGACATGCATTTAACACCCAAACAGAAAATAAACAAATGCATTTTTTATAGTTCAAAGAGCGTTAATTTATACATCTTTTGCATATCTAGATTGCTTGAAATGAGCTTTTTCAATCCTTAGTGTCGTATTTAACATGATGTGACATCTTTTTCAGTGTGCAGACAAATATACTTTTTTTTCAGCACAAAGTTTGGCCTAAAATGTGACAGTGCATTAAGTGCTGCTCCATCATCTGCCTCCATCCTATCCCTGGCTATCATCTGTCACACCAACCCTCTGCATGTCCTCTTTCATTACATCTGTGAATCTTTTCTCTGGTGTTTCTCGTTTCCTCCTGTCGAGGTCCAGCGTTCAGCATCTTTATCACTCTTCTTATTTTAACACAAAATGTGTTTTCTGGTATTAAACACATACAGGAGAAACATTTTAACAAAGAAAGGTAACATTTATTGGTGATTGGTTGCACCTACCAACTGGGGTGAGCTTAGTGGGACTGAGGGGACGAGGGATGTTGTCCACACTGGGTGGAGGTTGAATTTGGCCCTCGCCGCTCTCTCCTCCTTCTCCTTTTCCTCCATCTTTATCTGTAGCTTCCTCCCCTGATATTTTTACTCCTCCTCCTCCCCCCTGGAGGAAAAAGACAGGGGATGGAGAAGTGGAGGAGGAGGGGAGGATGGGTTTACCGTAGACTGTGGAGAGACAGGAAAAAGGATGGGTTATGGTTTGTTTTCACCTGCAGAAGCTGTCAAACTGTCTAAACAAGTAATTGCTGTTTAATCACCTGCTTTGACAGTAGCCCTGTTGCTCAGAGATCCGTAGTTTTTGGCCTGAGGCTGCTGTAGGTACATGCTGTAGATGGAGCTGCTGTTCATAGTAGCAGGGCCCTTCCTGGGGGACTGTGGCCTGGAGGGATGGTCCGGGACGTAGGGACGTACGGCCACCGCCGGAGGGGGATCTGTCCGCTCTGTTTGTGGGGACAGCGGGGAGGGCTGGGAGGTGGTGGCAGAACCTAAGTGCAGAAACAGAAAAACAAAGTTATACAATCAACAGGACTGAAAGAAGAAGAAGAAGATAAGCTTTTATTTTAATAAATAAAACTATTTATTACCTTGGCTTGAGTTAGGAGGGACAGAAATACGGTGCTGTATTTGCTGTGAAGAGGGGGATGATGGATGGGGGGATGAGGCGGCACCGGATCGAGGCCAACCCAGTGTACCAGGGGCAGAACGAGGCAGGGAGCTCGTGGCGCAGTGATGTGCAGCTGCCTGGTGGGTGGCACTGGGGTACGTACCATAACCAGAGGGAAGCTGGTGGGAGGGAGACACAGATATGAAGTATACAGTGGGGCAAAAAAGTATTTATTCAGCCACCGATTGTGCAAGTTCCCCCACTTAAAATGATGACAGAGGTCAGTAATTTGCACCAGAGGTACACTTCAACTGTGAGAGACAGAATGTGAAAAAAAAAATCCATGAATCCACATGGTAGGATTTGTAAAGAATTTATTCGTAAATTAGGGTGGAAAATAAGTATTTGGTCAATAACAAAAATACAACTCAATACTTTGTAACATAACCTTTGTTGGCAATAACAGAGTATTTGACTAAATACTTTTTTGCCCCACTGTAACTGCATAACCTATTTTTTTTTCTTCTTACACCAAGACATTCATGACTGCTTCCCATGGAGATTTTCCTCCTTAGACATTTTGAGTTGAAAAGTTCACACCATCACTTCACTGCTAAGCAGAAGCCTCAAGTGAGCCTTGATACCTCTATAACAGCGCTTACAGTGCAATAAATTATTTATTATGATCACAGAATTCATGAGAATAACTAATATAACTGAGAATTACACCAGTACCTGTTCTGGACTGTTGGTCCTCCAGTCTGTTACGCTCTTAGTGATGGTGGGCCACGGTGCTTCATTGGCTGAAGGGAGAAAGCGGCAGAGAGTCAGGGAGCCGAGGAAGGGATCAAAACAGGAAAGGAAATTAAAGTGAGAAAGAAGCAAATAAATCCAAATGGAAAAGACAGATGAAAAAAGATACTATGAACGGTTAAGTAACTAAAAAAATGATCGGTTAAAGGGAGTGTATATAATGTGTATTTGTTGCATATACATGTATATTTTAATGCTGCTAAAATAGCATACACAGAGCATGTCTGTAGTTTACTCGGCAACATAAATCCAAGCGGACAATGCACTGATTCCCAACCAGGCGTACTCCAGGCGCTTACACCTTTCACTTTTCAAGAGTTACAATTAAATTTAAAAAAAAGGGTTCTTAGCAAGAAAAAGTGAGAAAATTAAGAATGAATGGTTGAAAAGGACATCTAAAATAACAATACTAAGTAAAGGTAACTCATCAATACTTAAAATTTGTAGCCAATATAATTTAAGTTGTAATAATGCACAGTGACTGACAATAGCAGTCACAGAAAATGACTCGTGGCTGCAGTTAAACTATTTTTACTAGAAGAATAAAACCTCTAAAAAACAGGAAGCCGCTACAATCAGGGTTTAAAACAGAACAAAACTCTACAATGTGAAGTTTAACTCAGCCTCTGTCTCTGCAGAGGTGTTGTTACATAATAAACTGGCTCAGTTCAGTGCAGAGTCACAGTAGTAAATCTTCAGCCACTGTTGTCTGTGACAGCTAAGGTCAACAGCCTAGCTCAATGCTTTGGAATTTCATGGCAACTTGGCCACACCCTTGAAGACATTTAACAGGAAATAGCTTTGTGAAGAAGTCAGGTGATCTTCCAAGGTATTGCAGAAGTGGAGAAGAAATGACTGATGGAGATCCACCATCAAAGCCGTGGCGCTAAAATGGCTAAATAAGTGCTGCTAAATAAAATTCCACATAATGTTAAACTCCAGCAGCCATTTACAAACTGTTACCTAACCATTTCGCCCAGTCACGTCACAGTCCTGGCTCATACCAGACTAATACTGATTAACTCTTCAACCCAGGAGCCACGCAGTCTGTACAGTAAGTTGTGCTGCGAAACCTGTTGGCTGCTTTAACCCGCTGACCTCAGGAAGAAAACAGTCACGACAGGAAACAAGCAGTCAGTTCTGTGAGAGGTGGAAACTTGGCCGCCTGCCCCTGAGAGCCCAGATTAGAAGCAGTCACTCAGTGTTATAGAGGAAAGACAGTTTACAGCACAGTCACGGTACGTCCTGGTGCAAACGACAAACGGGTCATGCAGTAAAGCGTTTCAGCCTCACCACTCAAGTCTCTTTAGTTCACCATTTTTAAGCGTTTGAGTTTGATATTCTGTCTGTAAAATATGATGTTGCCATAATCAGCAGCCACAGCATTTAATGCAAACAAATGATTAAATGCAATGCTCTGCTGAGAAATCTCTTCTCCTGCCTTTGACGTAGATAACAGCCCAGCTCTGTATCTGAACAGCATCATGGTGGCTCTGTGGTTCCAGGCAGACCATTCTGTTTCTGAGTTCTCCCCTGTGAGCTCCAGTTTCTCTCTCCATTTAAAAACATCTAATTTGATGCTGTGAGGACGCTTTCACAAGAGAGATTTCACTTCCTGTTTAAATAAAGGTTTGGCTGAAAAACTGCACGCTCATACAGTAATGAAATCAACAGGCACACATGCTAAAGCATAACCTGATTTATAGTCTATTTTTCTTTAAATGCGAACATGTTTTACAAGATAAAATCATTTCGTATTAAAAACAGAGCGAATTCACGACAATGTTTTTGAAACGTGAAGCGTAATTTTGATCTTCTTTTGCTGCTGGTTCAGTGAATTTTGGTCGGAGAGAGACCAAAGCTGCAGTTTCGGAATCTGTGAGATGTCAGCTTTCAGCCCCGACAGCGTGTCCGTGGACGTGCCGTCAGGTGAACGGTCCACACTTTGTGTTTACATCTTTTTGCGGAATCCGTTTACCTGCTCTTTAATAGTTCTGCTGGTTGTTGAAATAGTTTTGTGAGCTTTAACATGAGATGCTGGCATTTCTTGCAAAATACATTTATATTCAAAAATCAATTCAGGATTTAATGAATCGATATTGTATTTTTCCAAACTAAAATCGATTTGAATCGGAGAAAAACGATTTTTTTAAACACATCACAATTATTGAGGTCATATATAAGAGAGGATCACGATCATTTTCTCACAGACTTTTATATAATCTGACTTCTATTTACAGCTGGAGAAGTCGCACCCTGATGGCCATGAATAAAAATGCAGCTTTTCAGAGCCAGACTCAACAGCCACCTTTCATATACAGTCACACTACAAAAACTGCTTACAAATGGCCTCACGTAATGAGAAGGAACTGAAGGAGTTCACCAGAAACAGATCCGACATCTTTCACCCAACCATCAGGATGCACAACAGAAAGCTTTAGATCCAAATATAAAATTATTATAAAAAGTAGTGTAATAAATATCCATCGTTTCAGCACTTTCTAGCAAATATGAGCCAGTTTTGTTTAACATATTTTAAACAAATAAATGATTCCTTGCTTTGCTTTTTTTCTGGGCTTAATCTCCCCGATGACATCACCCTCTCACCTAAAACCTCTTGTTATCCGACTCCCTCACACACTCATCACACGTACTAAAGATAGCTACAATTCAGGCTTTCTCTCATTCATGTGCAATGGCCCCCTGCCCAGTAGACTGTTGATTTGATTTACAACTACGAATTTTCCGCATTACATAAGCAGCGACATTAATAGAACTGTGGCATTTGCTTTGGGATTCAAGAACACAATGGGTGTTAAAACAAAGCTGGTTGAAGACTCTTTATTTTACTTCAGTGTAGGTGAAAAAAATAGATATCGGCAGTTTAAATTGTGTTTTTCCACACTGTGTAGGAAGAGATGTCGGAATAAATAAACTCGAGTCTAAAGCCAGACTTTGGTTTATTTTCTGAAGCTGTGCTTCTTAACCCTGAGCAGCTGTTGGCTATCAGATGGCATGTCTGCACCCTTGTACACTCGACCTTTACAATTTAGGGTCCTTTGAGCAGCTGATTCAATTATGTTTTGTCTCTTTACCATCTGGTCTGCATAGCGGTTTAAACACGAGCGTGCTCGGTTTGAATGCATCCACTCTGGGAGTCAGATTAAGAAAATGTGTGCTGTGAATGCCCTTTTCTATTTTGGGTCTTTGCAGCTGGCTCCAAAAGTGAGTCAGTCCCTATAAACTCCCGTGTTAAAATGTTCAAGTTTACAGCAGATATGAACACATTTAGAACCACATACACAGAAATTTTAAGCTCTCTGTATTAAATTTCCCCTTCATGACAATAACGGAGGTCAACTTTTAGTAAACTCAGTTCCTTAAACTGAACCGCTCAACTACATCTGTGGCATTTTGGAACATACTGGAATCTTTTTAAAATCCATTATCTGAAAATGACAGTGATCGCTATGTAGACTGCTGGACTAACCTCCTAATTAACTTGCACTAATTAGCAGGAATACAGTCTATGATAACTGCTCATGAACATGTTTTTCTGACACACACACAGAGACACACACACACACACACACACACAGAGACACACACACACACACACACACACACTTATTCCTGGACAGAAAAATAACTTCTTGCTGGACTGGGATGGTTTATAAATCGAATAAAACATCTTGCTCTGAATGAGCACCATCACTGGATCTTTCTAAAAATATATATATATATAAAATAGTGTCAGCCCTAGATTTGAAACCTCTGACCTGATTTGAACCGATTTAACGAATGTTATGTGCCTTGTATATGAGGAGCTGTACACAAAATCTCAGTCTCCTACCTGCAAAACTGTGTTTTCTACAAGGCTCCAAATCTGCTGTCTCAGATCACACATCTGACATTAACTTTCTATGTTAACTCAAGCTGCATGTCTCCAGTTACTCTCAAGAGCAGCACCCTGACCTCCTTAGAGGCCATATTTACAGAGCCATACCACCAAATATTCACCCTAAAAAACTCACACAAGCAGTTTCTAGATAACAGAATGTTTAAACGTCTGCTCAAAAAATCTATTAAGTGAATCTTTCGAGTGGTCATCCCCTTCTTTTTCACATAAACATGTGGTGCTATGTTGAAATAATATTATAACCTATAAACTAATTTTCACTACTATCCCATACACTGTTTTGATACTTTACACTTGGATTTGTGTAAGGTGACTTTTGGCAACTGAGCAACTTGTTTTTTGTGTAAAAACGAGGAGTTAAGGCTGAAGGTGCTGCTAGCATCGTGCTATCACCAATAAACCCAGCGGTGAGTAAGTGTGTTTAGTGGTTTCTCCTGGACTCACTGTTACTGTCGCCCCCCTGAGGGGACAGAGGCCCCTCCCACCGCTCAGTGGGCTCTGACAGGACGATGTCTAAATCTGACTCTTTCCATTGGCTGGGAGGCTTCCTGATGGCACTCCTCTCTTCCTCTGTAAGGCCACACCCACCACCACAGACAACACCAACCACGAGACAGTAACACCCACCAAACAACAGCACAGACGTAAACATCACCACCATGACATCGGAATGACGAAAACAACAGCGAGACCCACACCAGCACCACAACACATTACAAAACAGCAATCACAGAACCACCACATTAAATCATTGAACATTGGAGAGAACACCGACAGAGAAGGGGAAGAGGGAAAAAACACGACAGGAGAAAGAAATGGAAGAAGAGCAAGTTAGAGGTCAGACAGTGATAAAGACAAACCAAGTCTGGTAAAGCACAGAGACTTAAAATGGGGGAAAAAAACAAAACAAAATAAACATCCACCAACCTGAGAGGGAGCGAATGTGGCTGAGAGGGGTGGGTTTGGGCGGTGGGTCAGCTGGGAGCGGGTACCCTGGCTCTTGTCTCCCCTCGGATGGAACCTGGATGTAGGGGCAGACAGCTGCCACTCGACCCGAAACTCCAGCACCGGGGTGGGAAGAGCTTTGAGGGGAGGACAGAGTGCCTCCATTCATACGACTTAACTGAAGTGGACACACACAGACACCCAGAATGAGACTCATATAACATGATAAAGAAAGACCAGACTTCTTTGCAGACTGCACCTCTGCTCTCTTCTTATGCAGGCGTTCTCTCAGGTCACCGATGCGTTGATCCATCACGGTCACCTGGGCGTTCCTCTTGTTCAGCAGCTCCTTATTCTGGGCCAACTTGCTGCTCTGCTCCAGATTGTGCCGGTTACGAGCCTTAAAAACCCCCAAAACGTTTTACTCACATTTATGATTTCTGACACCCAAAGCAGGCAGGAGAAGGTCGCACTAAACATCTTTTTTTCTGCAATATTTTTATTATGTTTTTGATTGGTTTTAAAATAGCTGTGATCAGACAGCCACATTATATCCACTGTAGGTACCAAACTAGTATAACCTCATGGCATTCACAGTGTTTATTGCATTGCTTATTTGCATGAGCTTCTAAAACATATTGTTCCCACATGCTTAGATGGTTTGGTGGTGCAGCGGAGGTGTTGGTAGAACAGGTGTCCTTTGTTTTTCCAACCAGATTGAGACATAAACATTTACTACACATCTTTTCAATTAGCCGTAAAGATTGCTTGGCAAAGGCCAAGTGTTTGCTCAGGGTATAGTTTACCTGCAGCTCCTGGTAAAGTTTCCTCAGCTCCAGAGCTGCAGGGCCTGAAAGAGGCGATCCCTTATGACCAGTGCCTGCACCCTGGGGTCCCGTGGGTGCCCCCTGACCTGGTGCACCAGAGTGTAGCTGCAGGCGTCCTCTCCTCAAATCCTCCAGCTGCTGAGTCAACTGTTAGACCAAAATTAAATACATATATGTGCACATATATCTTATCAAATCAAATCTGCTTCAAAGTTTATAGAAACCAAATAAATTTTCATACCTGGTCGACTCTGATCACCGCAGTCTGCAGCTCCGCCTGCTTCTCCTGAAACAGGCTGCTCACATGGTCAATCTCTGCAGCTACACACAGAGAGCAGGACGTCAGATTGAAATTACATCGCTGTAGTTATTAAGATTTTAGTGCTCAGATTCTACAGAAATACATATAAACACCGAGCACGCTGTAAGGGACTGAGTAAATGGTCAAAAAAAATCCCTCACGCTGCAGCATCAAGGCTTTATGAGGTTAAATTCATGGTCTTTTAATATGCAGTCGTTTACTTCAGGGCCTGTAATCCACAGTCACCAACTCTACAGTGTTACAGAGTGTTTAGGCTTACAGAGGTTTCCGTTGATCAGTTTGCTGTAGTCGACTTGGCCTCTCATGGCTCGGATCTTCTTCAGCTTCGCTTCCTGCGTCTCCACTCGCTCTTTGAGCCGCTGCAGCTTCTCAGCTTCAGACTGAAAAAGAGAAGTCAGTGTTTAAAGTGGTTAAAAACTCCCCATACACTCAAGTGGTGGCAGTTCCAGTCATTTAGGTATACTGAAAGGATACCTGCTCTGTAATTTAACTAAAATGTGACCCAAGATGCAGAAAAATACACGTTTTAGTTGATTATTTACTGTCTCAGTTTCAGGAATAAATGCCTACAATGTGTTTAATTTGAAGATGCTCAAATGAATTCTGAAGGTTATCCAATGAAAGCGCAGGTATTTGCTTTACTTGGAAAATACTTGCAGACAGCAGTAATCAACAGACAGAGCTTCAGCACCTGTTAACATTTAGCCCTCTGACAGACAAACAGGAAACTTAACCTTCAGCGAACTGGCCTCTAGGTTAGACTGCAGTCACATTATTAGATATAAACCACATAAAGGAAGCAGTATGCAGATTATTGTATTTTAAACTGTATTAGTTTGATGAATATATTGCTCACACAATTGTGAGTAAAGCAACAAAGCAAACTTTAAATAGGGTGTCCTTGTGCTGTATAGACTCAAAGGAGACTAACAGAGGTGTGGATCGCACCTGTGACTGTCCCTGGTTGGATCTGCCTCCTTGCTGAAGATACCTCAGTCTCTGTTCCTGCAGGAAACAAAAGTACAGTGAAAGTAGAGTCATTTCCAGACTTTCATTTATTTCATTTGAAAAGTGGCATGGCATTTTCAGTTTTAAAGAAACTAAATCATGTTTTGCAAACCCAGCCAGAAAAAAACTAAAAAATACTATTTTTATATTATAAAAATAAGATTATCTGGTATACCAACTAAACTTAGCGAGGTTGAGCCCGTTTTCACTTGGAGAACCTGAAAGCCTGTTTTCTGAATCAGCTCACTGACTGAGGAGGATCCTACACAAACAGAGGAGCAACAGTGGCATTTGTTCCAGCACTTCAATCAGCAGAATTCAAATTTGATAAACGTGTTGGTGTTATTCGGTTACGTTTTCAGCACTGGCTGTTAAATCCAACTAAATGACTATAGAAATGAAAACTACGTTTCAAGTGGTTTTAAAAGAGCCTCTGACACAAATATTTTGGGTCTTTAATGAATTCAGGCCGGTGCTGTCGACTGATTGGCCAGTTTGCTGTCTGCCTCATTATTTGTCAAGCTGTCATTCAAAAATTTCATGAGTTCTCAGTGAAAAACAAATCACATTCAGTTTATGCACTGATGATAGAATTATTTCACGGTGCTCATGAATTTGATTTCCTCTGTGACCTTTCCAGGGAGTGCCCAACGTTTCGCCCTGTGACAGATGAAATAGGCCCCAGACCCCCACTGCAACCCTGAATTGGTTGAGTGGTTAAGAAGATTAATGGAAAGATGGATAATATTTCCTGGTTTTTGGTGCTTTGAGAACACATGCATGTGTTTTCACATTGTTCCCTCTCATTTTGCACACCTGCATGTTAATCTTATTTTTCATAAATAAAATCTTATTTCAAATGTTGGTGAAATAGATTAGTGTGCCGCTTCATACCATGCATCCTGTTGTACACACATAATACCAGATTATATATATCAGCAGCACTAGCACCAGCAGCTTATTGCCGTGTTTAAGTGTTTATCTTTACTCTACATAAAACATGCATTTTCTGGACCATCACATCTGCAGCTACACACAGCCGTCATCTATCTCAACCTCAACCTTTACTTGAGCCTTAAGATCTTAATAAAGCTGAAACTGTAAGTCAAACTTGGAGACACCAGTTACCCCACTCGTCTAATATTTTACCAAAGAACAGAATGTCAGATTCCTCATTAATGAGGAATTAATTAAAGGCTGGCATCACTTTACCAGGAGCAACAGTGAATTGGAGTACTTAATGACTTAAGTACAGTTTCCACAAACTGCAAAGAAATCTAGTGGGATAAACTGGGCCCTTTGGTGTGCAAGTACTGGTCCGTGGTCCACATGTTGGATGCCCATGTGTTAGACCTAACAGTCAGCTGGTCTTCTGCATTCATAAAATATGAATTATTCATTTAAACGAGAAGTGTTTTCAGTGCTGAATAGTGAGGGCAGGAACACTTAATCATCTGGCCGTGCACATCCTTAGTCAACAGCATAATACTATAATAACTGCCATGCATGCAGTTTATTTTCACCCGATCATCACATCCAACTCCGAAGACCATCAGCTGCTATTGATTTTCATTTAAGCTTGTGTGTATCTATGTATCTGACACACACAATAAACTACAGTGAGGAGACAGAGAAAGGCTGTGATGTGTGATGCTGACTGAAGCAGTACGGCTGACCTGTGTGTGTGTGCGTGTGCGTGTGTGTGTGTGTGCATGCGTTTGTGTGTCTCTCTCTTTCACATAAACACACAAAGAGGAGGAGAAAAGGGCATGTTGGCAGGAAGCTGCCCTGCTAACACATTACATAAGAGAAGGGTGTTTAATTACAGACGTAGTGCAGGAATAAAAGTTTTTATGTTTTCGACTTTTTATTTTCCAGGAAGTCATCAATCTACGTTTCGTTATATTAATGTTGAGAAGACAGAAAATGTTTCTACATCAGCGCCTGGGATTTTTTTCATCCAGCAAGGAAATGCTTGAGCAAGCTGGAAGGAAACACTTAATAGCTGTCAAATTACAGAAGCAGTTAAACTGCTGCTTTAAAAAAAAAAAAAAAAGCTGGATATCAGCATTAAACTGACAGGCAAAAGAAATCACTTCCACAGCAGTCTTGAAAAACTCAAAATGGCCAAATAAAAGTTTGTGGTTGATGCATTTTATCGAAAACTTTACCAAATGAATGCCGTTTGGCTCACTTTCCTGACTCCTTCCTGGAGTACAATTCTGGGTAAACTTCCCAGCAGCTGTAGATCCCTGCTGAACTCATTTCCTGCTAACTCAGAAGGCCACTTCCTGAATCTGGGGATGGGGCCGAATGACCATGATCTGTGTCTCCAGATATTTTCTCACATGTGCTGCAGCCCTGAAGCTTTCTAAACATCAGCCAAAAGAGTCAAAATTGAGAAAAAGTCGAGTTCACACCACATCAAAAAAGAAACATCTTTACCCCTTTCTTTGATAAAGACCTCTGTTCTGAATCCAGGCAGTATTTGTTTATCCCCAAGGGGCAATTAACATACAACAGAACAGCATAACGTTGACGAGAAGGACAATAAGAACAAGCAATAAGAGTGAGACAATAAATACACAGAATATACAGTTTTAAAATTACACAGTTTTTAAATTAAAGTGACTGAAAGAGGGGGGAGAGAATAACATGAAAGCATGGGTCTATGCTGCCTTGTATCAATGCTTCATGCTTGTGGTGGTTTAATGGTGCAGGAGATATTTTCCTGGCACACATTTGGCCCGGTAGCACCAACCGAGTATTGTTTAAATACCACAGCCTACTTGAACGTTGTTGCTGACCATGTCCATGCCTCTATGACCACAGTGTACTTATCTCAAACTCTAATTAATCTCATATTAGTTTCTTTTACATGACAATGAGTTCACTTTTAGTCCACTACAGCATGCTTGGGATGTAGTGGAATGGGGATTTGCATCATGGTTGTTCAGCCGATAAATCTGCAGCGACTGTGTGAGGCTATCACATCAATATGGACCAAAATCTCAGCACTAGCAAGGTCCACCAAACAACATTTCTACAAGTCTAACTTCTTTTTTATGGTCAGCCTAGCTAAAAATCCATAGCTCAGTCTTCTGCCACAAAGCCGGCTGCAAGGAAAAACAAAACTTGCGTTTACAGTTCCAACACTCTGAAATGGGCTAGAACAAACTGAGCCTGTGGTGCTGTAGTTGCGTTCCTATTTTTAAGTTCAGCTCCTATGTGAAGGCTTTCCAAATGTTCAAACGACCCAAATTATGTTGTTCTAAAACAGAAACTCTTTCATGACAAAACAGACGCACTATGTAAAGACCCACACTGTCCAGTCTCTCAGATCTGCTCAAACTGTCTCCCTTCAACATCAACAACGTGTGCACATCTACAACTGACGGGGTATATATGTACTTGAAAAAAACAACGACAAAAAAACTTAATCTGGGCGTAGCAATATTTTGACCCATGTCACCTTGGGCTTAAGGGGTTAACGTGCAAACTCTCCAGCACAAACTTACTGTGACCTTCAACTGTGCGAGTTTTCATCGATTTGTGCTGATGTGAGAAGAGCGCTGGTAATAGTCTGGAGAGCAGCTGTCATGTGCGCTTCCTCCTGCACGCTCCACCCAGGCAGCTCCCTCAGGTAAACCTCACTGAGTATTTCTAAACCAGACTATCTCCTGTGTGGTGCATGTAAGAAACTGCAGCCTCGGAAAAAGTCTTAACTCAATTCTCCCCAGCCTACGTCTGAAAACGACATCTCTCCTCCAGAGCCAATCTTTCACGTCGTTCCTCAAACCCTGAACTCAATCACACACACACACACAAAAAGATGCATGTGATGTGATGCGCACACACATTCATCTGAGGCTCCAGGGGCCTCAAAGCCGATCTTTTCAGACAGACTCTAATGTAGCTAACCTTACATTAACTGACAGGCAATCCATCCAGCAGCTCTGTGTGCGTGTACAGTATGAGTGAGTGTTTTACCTTGGCGAGCAACATCTGTTGCTGAGCCTCTATTTGTTGTTGTTGTCTTGTGGCCATTTCTTGGAGCTCAGAGAGGGTCAGCTCCACACGGGGAACCTACACCGGCACACAGGGGTTATACATTAATACATTATGTACATAGAGACAGACAGTGTTTTCCCACAGTTTCCATCCATTACACGTCTCACTGTTGCTGTCGAGATGAAAACCCAAACTGTGACAGGAGATAAAGCACAGCTGCACACATATATCACCTCACATTTTAGGTCACTGAGCAGCTTTACTGAATGTTATTAGGCAGGCAGCTGGTGGCTCTGGAAGAGCGACAGAATTATAGTTTAGGGCTAAAAAAAAAAAAATCGCCAGAATCATCCCCTTTCCCTCACAGCATTTCCTTACAGATACATCTCTGGGAGAGTGCTTTGTTCAGGAATATCTTTCTAGAGACTGATGTGTGTTTGCGTGTACGTGTGAGGGTGGGAAACGGGGAGGAATGCCTTTAGCAGACAACAACGGAAGGTTTCAACCCAGCTACATCCTACTATTGTGCACATTTACTTATGAACACACACAGACACACACTGCACCTGGGGTGTTATATTCATTTCCAGTTCACAGTGAAGTCAGACAAGCTGGATATGACTACATCTGTCCTTTAATAGCCAGGTTATCAGAACACAGCTCCACGATTACAATACTTTTCAACAGACTGCGGTACAGTATTATAATATTTAATAATTATTGTTTGACAGTTTGACTCCTACAACACCAGAAAGGTCTGGCCTCTGGAGATATTTTACTATCAGCGTGTGAATGACTGATTATGACATAATACACTACATCAACTTAAGCCATCCTAGGACAGAGAAAATGGAGTTTCAACCTGGGATTAAAAATGCGATCATACTATTAAACCTCAGACAGGCTTACAGCTTCATTTAGTTTAACCCCCCCATCCAGAGTAACATTGACGTATGAATATCATCCATCACTCCCATTTGGGCTGAACAAACTCCGCCTATTGTGCTGCAACTGTATTCTTGTGCAAAGTTAATCTCAAATCTGAAGCTTTTCCAAATGTCAAAATGACTCAGATGATGTTCTACAAAAACAGAAACTGTCTTATGGGCAAATGAATGCATGAGCATTAAAGATCAAGACTCTGTACACTGATATCTATTGAAATTTGCTCCCATCAACATCTTCCATTTTTAAGACTCGTCGTGTGACTGTTGTTTCCAATTTTGAACCCCTAACATATGAGCCATCTTCCCACATCACCGGGCGAGAATGTGAGTTGTGAATAATTTTTAAAAAACTGCGAACTTTTCAGTTATGCTTAGTTTATTGCATTACATCACCAAGAAGTATTTATTTCCTTGGTCAGCCTTGGAAACACTATATGATTAGTATAGTAGATTGCTTATACGGCGCAGATATCTATTAGGGCAGTTTGATCATCTAAAAGGAATCAGTCGGGACCTGAGATGAAACCCTGAGGAATACCAGAGTTAACAGATTGTGGTGGTACAACATTATAAGTAATATAAACGAGTATGGCAAAATTTAAGATGGTTATTAGTATAAATGATATACTCACAAACAGGGAGTATCAGAGTATCAGTAACAGAGGTCTAAACAGTAAAACCAGTGCAGATGGGCCTTAAATGGGAATCGCTTGTAAAGGCCAGCAGGGGGCGGTTGCTCAAGAACAAGACAGATTGGATAAAATTCTTGGCAACTGACTCGTGATTACTTTAGTAAACCCTTTTCTCTTGAGTTTATGGGCTCAATCACTAGTTTCAAGTCCAATGTAATAAAACATGATGTTCATTTTATAAATTATGGTCCTTATTAGTGACCCTGAGACCTTGAGTATGCAATGTCCTTCGGTTTCTTTGTCATGTGTTTTCACTTGTGTCATCTGGTTTCAAAAAGCTGAAATGGTAATGGCCAAAATGCTTCAGAAACCAGCGATTACAATGTTATTGGCTGACATTACAGTGGCTACTTCCTTCTTTATACTCAGTCTTTGGATACACAGTTTTAAAGGGTCAGTTCATCTATGTTCAGTGCACTAAAAACATTTTTACTTATGTGAGTTCTGAGTTCTGATCATTGCAGGTTTTTACCAGATGTCTGCTTGAAACCATGGACGTTTTTTTTTTTTTTTTTGATGGCGCTCAAGGAAAAAAATCCCAAATCAGTCTTTTTATCTAAATAATCTACAGTCTTCTCTGTGAGAGCTACATTGGTGTCTGTTTGACTTGAAATGATTATTGGCAGTACTTCAGTGGCCTGAATTTGGGGACTGCTCCGATTATCGGACACAGAAACTGGAGACAGAAGAGTCTGTTGTTACTGGCATTTAATGGGACTTGGAGTAAGGGTTGAGTAGTTCAAGTAAAAATGATTTTTTTTCCCAGTGATAAGACAGAAATAGTTTCCAAACGTTAAATTAGGGTCGAAGAGGACGGAGGCCACTGCAAATTTTGTTAAATGTGTGAAAAAATATTGATGTCTAAGTGGAGACTTAGATGTGCCATGAGTAAGGGAGGCGCTGATGAATAACTCCATTACCCAGAACAGCGCCCTTGGGTTATGACACAAGTTATGAAATCAGTGAAACAAATTAAAATCATCATCAATTTAACTACTGGAAGCTCTAACTCTGGCAGCACTAGTGCTATGCTAAATATCAGTATTGGTGATTAATAGCCCTGACAGCCACACTGTGCTATAGACCGTGGACCGAGTTATGTAAATCTACATAAAACATAATGCACACATAGTGTATTCCACTGCAATACATCATGTTTTAGACAGTGACATTATGCACAATACACAAGGTTTTCCAGGCAGTGTCGCCACATATCATTAGCTAATTGCTGACTTTTGGGATCCTGTGGTTCCTCACTTTGATGTGCAACAATAATTGCATTGTTTTCTCATATCTCAAGAGTAATTTCAGAGCCAATCAGCATAAGACACTTTAAGATTTTTTATATTTTTTAAGCCCTTTCAGTCTGATATCCCTTTAAAATGTATATAATGCATAGATGGAACTACAGGGTGGGGCTTCAGACAAGCAGCAAAAAGCAGTTTTTATGCTTACATGCAGTAACCATACGTGGTTGATGAAGGATGCAGTCAGACTAGGCACACTTGTCTTGTGCCATGCCTGAGCCTGATAGCCTCCCCTCCACACAGACTAAACTAAAACTGTGCAACAGCATGCTTCAGTCTTTTCTGTCCATTGCTGAAACCACTGCTCCTTTCTCTCTCTCCTCTCAGTTCCTCGTTCTTTTAGTGCACGCTCTGCGTTTTTATCATGAAGAAAAGTGCTTTTGCAGAGCATCGTGAGGTTCATGAGTTTATGTATTTATGCTTTAATTGGTGTCATTTCACATCGGCCTTTCTCGTTGCCTTATTGATTTATGAATTTGTTAACATGGCGATTTTCAGTTAAACTTCAGAAATGCTGTTGTTGGTGCCAAAATGTTGAAGTTCTACATAGTTACAACATGCACAACATGTCCTCTCAGACCCACCTGTTAAAGTCAGACAGGGCAGAACGGATGGATGGTCTGACTTTGGGGGTCAAACATGCTCAGGCACAGCTCTGATCACCTAAAGTGAGTATACACTTCATTTTTACTCTGATATAAAGCCGTCCAGAGACCATATATAGATTTCAGGCACCTAGTGACATAATGTGGCAGGACCTGAGATAAATTCTCTCAACTTCCACAGAGTGCAGGATGCCACTGATTGACATATGACCTCATGGTAAATACATTAGTGGCTTACCAAGGCAACCAGAGCCTAAAATGCCCACTAGTGACCAGCAGTCAGTTTCAAAGTCATGCATGATGATGGACTCGTTTCCAGTTGCAGCTTAATGCCCGTACAGTCACCTGGATGAGTTGCCAGCATTCTTTCTCATGCTACATGCATAACAATCCTACTACTGCCAGCACTGAGGACCTTTTAGAGCTGTTCATTTGAATATGTTTTAGTAAAATTTTTCCTGCCGTGTGTGATTTTTGTTCCATTTTTCACGTTATTCATTAAATTATATTGTCATCTTTTTTCTGCCTCTGCTCTCCATCACAGCCGAGCCTGCTCCTATTTTACCTTTAACCAGGAAAAGTAATTGTTTTCTTTCTATTGCTTTTGTATCACGAGTGTTTGCACAGGAGTACACGTGTGTGTTATTTGAAAATGTACTAAACTAGAACCCTGCAATGCATCAGCACTTTTCACATTTTGGAGCCATCGCAAATACATTTTAGAAGCATCTAGAAAAAGCTCTGAAGATTCGACTGCAGCTGGTTTCAGAAAAGCAAACATGATACGTATTGCTCTGTAAACACCCTGAGCAGTTTTGCTGACTTCCTCAGTTTAAAAACCTCCGTCTGCAGGACTGAGGCTGAGGATCGCTTGTCAGTCAAAGCAGTGTGTGAGACAGTTTTCCTGGGATTTCCTGCCACTGAAGTCCTCTAAATGCTTCAGCTTCTAGCTTTCCACTGATTCAAATGGGAACATGCACTCCAGCTACAGGAAAGTTAAAAATTCACCTGACACTTAGCCACAGTGTCATGCCGCTCATGCTGTTAAGACACTCTAACACATCCTGCAGACTGTGTTGCTGCGAGCCCCCCGCTGACGTTAACATGCAGTTCCTACCAGCATCCCGCTGTGCTGTATTTACCTGCAGGCTGTCCCATGTGATCCTGCAGGAGCGGACTTTAATTTTGCTGCATTGTCCTTCAACAGTAAATTCCTGCACCAAATCTACCTCATTCCACTCCATCCTCACAAGCGTCTCAGAGACACGCCGGACCTTAATGCTTTCTGATGGAAAAGCGTTGCCAGAGGCTTGCACGAGAACCGCTTAAAGAGGAGGAAATGAGAGCGATCCTTATCACAACTTTCCCTCTCGTCCGCCTGGTGATGTGCTGAGATTTACGACACTCGCTCTTCCTCTCCCTCACTCGCTCGGCCCACACACCCTCCCTTCTCCTCCTTTCTCTCTCTCTCTCTCATAAAAACTCTCGATTATTAGTGCGTTCTCATGTGACGTTTTTACAGAG